TTGGACAAAAAGAAACAACAGATTTTTTTAAACATAGAAAACTTTAGGTTATATTTGCTGATTATAAACCAATAAAATTCAAAATAGCTAATTTAAGGATACTTTTTTAATATTTAAAAATTAAAAACACATTCCTAGGTAGGTCTCAGATGAGAGAAGAAATCAAAAGCAAATTAAAAACTACACAGAAAGCAACTTAAGAACACTTAATATCAAAATTTATGGGATAAACAAAGCTGCATTTTGAAAAAAATTTATATCCCTGAAATGTCATCATTATTCAAGAAGATAGGTGAGAAAAAAAAAAAACTAAATGAAAAACCTATCTTAGCAAGCAAGAAAAGAACAGTAAAGATACATCAAAACAAGCCAGGTGGCAGGAACAAAAGATTAAAGGTATAATCAAAAGAATAATAAAAACAAAGTAGCAAAGAGAAACCAGTCCCAAATTCCTCCTTTGAAAAGAATAGCAACTTCCTCAAAAACTTAGTTGTGGAAAAAAAAAAAAAGTAAAAATATGCAAGATTAGGAATGAGAAAGGAGAAATGACCAGAGACAAGAGGTATTAAAATAATCTTTGGTGAATACATATAAATGTATGGCAACAAATGTGAAAAACATAAGAGAATTGGATGATTTTTAAATAAGCTACCAAAATTGACGTATGAAGCAATAGAAAACTTGAATATTCCAGTTGGCAGAGGGCACACACGTTGGTGGGGTGGGGAATGAAGATTATAGGGAACCACTGAAAAAGCTTCTAGAGCCTGATGGGTTTGTGGCCTGGGGCTTTCCAGGTGGCGCAGGAACCACCTGGAAAGAATCCACCTGCCAACACAGGAGCCCCAAGAGATATGGGTTTGATCCTTGGGTTGGGGAGATCCCCTGGAGAAGGAAATGGCAACCCACTCCAGTATTTTTGCTTGGAAAATTCCATGGACAGAGGACCCTGGCAGGCTACAGTCCATGGGGTCACAAAGAGTTGGACAGAACTGAGCACAGCACAGCATAAGGGTTTGTGGCCAACTTGCATCGAACTTTTGGAAAACTAGAACTGTATGTTCTATCATAATTTAAGTATTGCAAGCCACAGAAAATGGTGGAGAGTTCTCCTTTTAGGAAGGCAGCACAATTTTAATTCTAAAATCTGATAAAGACGCTATGAAAAGAGAAACTTACAGACCCTCCTCTCACTATAAAGATGCAAAGACTCAAAATACTAGCAAAAAGAATCACTGAATGTATCAAAACAATAACATTATGACCAAATGGGACTTATTCCAAGAGACTAAGGGTGGTATAATACCAGGAAATCTATCAACATATCCCATTTTTAAAAAATTAAAGGAGAAGAAACAGTATTGTCATAATAATAGATGCTATGAAGGGACTTTTGCTATAATTCCACAGCCATTCCTAACTTAAATTCCTACATAAAATGAAAAGATGGTCAAGTTCACTGCTGGTAATTCACTAAAGAATGAGATGTGACTGAGACGCCTTTCAGACTGGTTAACATTTCTGGCAGGAGTGCCAGGAGAGTGCACTTAGATGGGCCATAGCCCTCCACATCCCCAGCAACAAGTTTGGAAAGCGACCTTGTGTGTATCCATGGAGACCACTGGCTGCTGGGAATCTACTGCCCAGAAATAAAACTAGTGCATAAGCACCTACATAGGAGGGTGACTCTTGCAGGCTGTTCTTATTGGGCTGTGTGGCCTGAGAATGCAGATTGCCCTCCAATATGGGAATCACTGAGTTCGCACACAATAGTCACACCAACAATTGTGCTACATAAAAGAGAACAGCAATATACTGACCTGAAGGTAACACTGAGAAGGTGCAGAAAAATATACGATTTCAACTTCATGAAAACAAATGTTGGGAATGATATATGACTGTATCTGCCTGTGTTCCATGTCTGTATCTAATCACATGAGCACAGTGAGAACACACATCCATGAGGTTATCCTCATATGCTATAACATAGATATGATATTATGTTTTTGTTTTGCATTTGTATGTTTGCAAACATTTAAAATCTGATGTTTAAAACTTTCCACAGCAGTAGGCTCCCTTCTTCCTCTTGCTGTTGTTTCAGTCCTCAGCTGTGTCTGACTCTTTGCAGCCCCCTGGACTGTAGGCTGCCAGGTTCCTCTGCCCATGGGGTTCTCCAGGCAAGAATACTGGAGTGGGTTGCCCCTTTCTTCTCCAGGGGAACTTCCCAGGCCAGGGATCGAACCCACGTCTCCTGCATTGGCAGGCGGTTTCTTCACACTGAGCCACCTGGGAAGCCTCTTCTTTTGGTATCTACAATTGCTTCTAGGACCCACACGCTCCCAGCTGCACATCCATCTCTGGAAGGTGCTGCTCCACTCCATCTGCCTAAACTCTTAAGCTTCGGGGACCCCAGGACTCAGATCAGGATCTCTTTCCCTTGCCCCTCCCACCCTCTGCCCACTCCTTTGAAGATTCCATCCAGGCTCCACTGGTCACTTGCATGACAACACTCAGTCTTGCGCTTTTGGCCTGCACTCATCTCTGGAACTCCAGACTCCAGTGCCTGCCCAGCTGCCTTCCTGACCTGTCCAGTAATACCAAGCAGGTACTGTGAAGTGAAATGAAAGTTGCTCAGTTGCGTCTGACTCTTTGTGACCCCATGGAGTACACAGTTCATGGACTTCTCCAGGCCAGAATACTGGAGAGGTTAGCCTTTCCCTTCTCCAGCGGATCTTCCAGACCCAGGAATCGAACTGGGGTTTCCTGCATTGCAGGCGGATTCTTTACCAACTGAGCTATCAGGGAAGCCCAAGTAGGCACCATGAACATGACCAAACTGATTCCTCCTGCGGTCTCCTTCTAGGACATGACACCTTCCATCCTGCCAGGGCCTGGACCAGTTACCTCACAGAGGTGGGGAGAGCACGGTCAGCAAGAAGCCTGGCCCGGCAGACAGGAAGTTAGGCAAAGGCCCGAGGTGCAGGGCTGCCTGGGAACCGCCTCCCTGGAGTGAGGGAGAGGCTGCGTGTGCTTGTGAACACCATCAGATGTTTGGCATTTGTCACCGGCGACCATTCTAGAATCTACGGGACAGCAAGAAACCAGAAGGAAACAACATGTTTGGAAGTCAACAGAGCATTTTATTCCACAGGAAGAGAAAGAACGACTTGACATGAACAGATTCTAGAGTCGCAACAGATTGGTGGCTGTGAGGGTGCTCACACAGTGGTGACCCAGAACTTTATTTTGGGGATTTTATAAGCAGCTGCTATGCTATTTTGAGGCACAGATGAGGCTTATAAACAAAGTGGCCCAGGAGTCGTCCGAACTCCAAGCTGCATCCTCACCACCGGGTGGGCGAGGCACTCAAACTGATGAGAGGCTGCGTTTCCATTTCCGGGTTGGTGGTGAGCGGGCCCGGGTGCAGGAAGCACTGACCGGCCAGCCTTTCTGGTGGGTGAACAAAAGCAGCTCTGACTGGGCAGCGATGTAGCTGGATGTGCTGGGTCAGGGCATCAAGGGGACTTTGCTTTCTGCTGGCCTGGTTTCTCCTGATTCAATTTTCTTCCTGGGAGTGGAACTGGGTAGTTGAGGCAGCAATAAAATCAGTAGAAAATTATTGTAACAAAGTCTTGGCCATCGCTGGCTAAACACTGATTTTAAAGGAAATAGGGCCTTTAGCAGCCATAGCCGGGGCCTACTTCCTCTAAAGCTTTGGATGTTTTCTGGGCAAACCAGGAAACTCTCCAGAGCCCCTGTAACCTTACCCCATGCCCAGCATGAGGGCTGAGAGGGCAGAGGGAGTTTGAGAAGCTAAATTGGCACCCACCAACCCCAACCTCACCCTGTTTGGTCTTTGGACCCTATTTTATTTTATTATTATTATTTTTTGGACCCCATTTTAACATCTGCCTCTTCTAAGGCACAATTGCAGAGGAGGTTGTGCAATTAGGAGCTGAGCCACTGTTTCAAGGGTTGATGAGATTAGAAGGCGGCCGGGAGGAGGGCATCTGAGCACCCTCTTGGAATCTCTGGGAAGCACTGTTCCACAGCGCAGCCCTCAACCAACTTCCCACGGGCAGAGGATGCTGGGTGCCACTGGGGCCCAAGGCAAATTTCCTTTATAATCCTAACACCAAGCTCCTCAATCCAACAGAACTCCCAAGTGACTTCATTCCAGAAAGTGACAGAAGGTTCACTGATGCAATCAACCCTCTGAGAGTCTCATCCTAAGGAGGTCATGATCTCAGGCAGTGGGTGACTGGTGACAAAAACCACAAGCCACACTTGTGGGGTGCAGGGCAGGAGGCTGTTCAGGAGGACGAGAAAGCTGCAGGAGGCGGCACCTGGTGCCAGAATGGCCGCCTGGCAAAACCAACGAACCGAACAACCAAAAACACCTCCTGCAAGAGCCAGGTTTCAACACTGCTGTCCACGAAGAGAGTTCAGTGAAGACCATATATAAATCTTGGCGCTCAAGACGAGCCTTGAAGACACTGCTTGCCAAAGCACTTAGCACTGGATGAAAGCTCCCTTCCTGTTTTTTTGAACACACACACCCCCCACACACACCCCACACACACACACTGCACACACATAGACACACACACCTCACCCACACACACACACACCACACACACATACACCACACACACACCCCCGCACCCCACACACACACACCACACAGACACACACAGAGACACACACACCACACACACACAGACACACACACACACACACCACACACAGAGACACACATATACAGACACAGACACACACAGACACAAACACACACACACACACAGACACCCCACATACACACCACACACACACACACACACACACACACCACACACACCCCCTCAAGGAGGGGGAAGAAAGACAGATTAGCTTCATTTGTGTCTTGGAAGGATCTGGGTCATGAATGATAAACCCCCAAACCTTCCACACATCCACTGACCCCTGGGTCCTTTTAGATCTCAGCTATGTTAGACACGGTGGTAGAGACTGAGTAGATTTATTAAAATAAAAATTTTAAAAATCACAAGTCTAGTCATTCATTCCAGAGTGAGGCCTACCCCTCCCCAACTTGGTTATTCCATACAGAAAAGAGAAAACCCTGCAAACAAGACCCAGGGAGAAGATGGCACTCACTCCAAGGCCTTGCCACTGTTTGGAATTTAAAACCAAGGGCAAGAGCTATTCTGGCCAAATCTTGGCCTCAAACTTACAAAAACAGCTTTTTAATACTCAGATTTCATTCCCCTTTCTGATTCTCTCCGTCTCCCTTCTCATCTCAGTGTTACCGTCTCCGGGTCCCCAGGGCTGCAGAGCTGGGAGTCTGCCTGCAGCTTTATTAGGGAGAAGAGAGTCCTAGGTCCTTCCCTCTGACTGCTGCTCAGGAAGGAGGACATTCTTACTGTGGGCTTTGCTACGTTTCTGGACTTTTGATTTGTTACCCAGTTCTGTGGGGTTTTTTCCCTTCTAAGTTATCAGAGTCTACCAATGTTTCAGACTGGCCTGTATGATAATAACCCAAGAAAAGCCTGTAATGCTGGTGTGTGTGCATGTGTGCTAACAGCACACACCTTGAAGTCTGGCAAGACCAGTCAGGAGAGAGCCAGAGATTTAGGCAGATAAAAACAATCTGTGACACTCTAAGAACCATCTTTAAACTGGGGGAGAAATCAATAAAAGATGCATCTGAGTCACTCCCCTAGGCTTTGTTGAGGGCCAGCTCTAGATCTGGACACTTTGGTTCGCTGCTGCTGTCTGGACGAGCACAGGTATGAAAGGTGTCACTCTTGATGTACCCGTCACCTCACCTCAGCCCACCCAACTGTGAATACCCTCGTTTCCCAGACTAAGACATAATATTCTGCAACTTGCAAGAATCCCTCTTCACGGATAGTACCCTGAATTAGACATGTAGAATTAGTGCAATAGAAGATCCAATATAATTTTATATTACTTTACAGTTAACAATCCTTTACACACATCATAGTCCCTGTTCAGAAACGCTTCTATATATTTACAAACACACAGCTGTATATATATCAATATATACATGTTAACAAAATACAGGGCAATCTAAAAATTAGATTGATCTTGGTACGCTTTCTTTTTTTTTCCAAACGTTATTCAACCGATGTCTTTTAAAAATTACCTCCCCATAATCTAGAGCAATTCCTTGCCCCACAAATGAACACAGTTCCATCTGTATCCCCCTCATCAGTATTTACTTCCCCTCTTGATATCATCCCCCAAACCTTATTCTGGTTTCCTCAAATTTAAGCCAAGCCCATGGGCCTCTCTCCTCCTGATTGGTTTGGGGTCTGTCTTTGGGAATGTCCCTCCAGCAGCTGGGGTTTCTCAGGAGTCCAGCTCCAACTGCTCTTGGTTTTCATTGAGTCTTAACATCAGTTGCTGTTCATAGTAAAGGCTCTTTGCATAGTTTATTTCTTGTGATAACTTGATAGCAAGGACCTCTGATTTCACATGGACCTGAGGAAAAGGACAGAATAAGTAACTTGCCCCCACAGTGGGAAACCAAACAGAAGTGCAGGACGCGAGCCACTGAAATCCGCCCAGGCAGCAGCTCCCAGCCTGACTGTGGATCTGAACAGCATGGGTGTACTTCTAAGAAATAGATCCCTGGGGCCCTACTCCTAGTTAATGCTTGAGGTCTGGGGTGGGCCCCAGGGTGACTGTGCATCCAACCCACAATCCCCCGACCTTTGGGACTCCTTGTAACTGAGAAACCATTGTGCTCTGAGGTGTGAGGATCAGCTGAGGTGAGAGCAAGTGAGAACAAAGATTTGGGACTCAAATCTAAAGTCTGCTGATGTTCAAAGCACACAAATGCCTTGAGGTCTTTCTTATGGTGCAAGCTTGCTTGCCTTGAAAGGGTGAAAGGGCAGCTGGGCAAGGCTCCCCACCTCCAAAAGGAACTTGTGGAAATACTCAGGCTTTTGGGTGTTAACTCAGTTAATCTACCAGTCCTAACCTAAGCCAGTGACCCCAGGGGAGCCCACACAAGCCAAACCAAACCCAAGCGCATTCCTGGGCAGGGAGAAGGTCAAGGGAGAGAGGCCCAATCAGGCTGGTTGCGGTTTCTGATCTGTAGAAAGACTGAGATAAGCAGGGCCATTCTGAATGGTATGTCATTCTTGAATGCAGGCTTGAAAATCCTAGCATTCCAGGTGAAAGATGAGCAGAGCTAACACCTGGGGTTCCTGAAAAGACTCCAAGTGAGAACATGGTTGGAGATGGGGTCCCCTCAAGTGGGCTTCTGCCGAGCTCTGAGCAGAAGCAGTGACCTGGTCCAGGCCACCAGCTCTGGTGCCTCGCAGGCACATGGCTTTGAACCCCAGCTCCTTCTGGTGTTGGCCAGATAACCCTGAACAAGCCACCTGTCATCACCAAGCCTTCTTACCAGTCAAGCGGGGAAAATAACAGTACAACATTAAATAATCTATAAGAATGCAGCCTGGCACTCAGAATCCAGCCTGACACATAGTAAGCCCTTAATGAATGTTGGTTATTAACAGGTTATTAACTGTTATATCTTGTAGCCTTTGGAGGCAAAGTGTAAATTTTGTCTATAAATATTTATTGAGCTTTTACCCTGGGTAGGGGCCTATGCTACATATTGCTTCTTGGTGCAGGAAATAAGTTAGCTTCCAATTATTCTAGAGGGGAAATTAGGAAGAAGCCAGCATGTGCTCTGACATCTTAGATCCGATGCACTGAAGAGGCCCATTTTAGGAATAAAATAGCCGCATGCATCATATCAGCTGGTCCTCACAGCTGCTCAGAGGCAGGAATCCTACCTACACTGTAAGGAGGGGAAACCAGGGCTCAAGTGTTGAGCAACCTGCCTAGGGTCAGCAGCGGTGAAGCTGGGAGGGCAGCACCAACCCATCCACCACACTGAGCACCTTCTGTCTGTGGGATTAAGAAGCAGGACCCCTGGGGATTCACAGCAGCCAGGCCTAAGCCTCATATGCTGCAACGCCTTTCCACTGAGAAGCATCAGCAGGGCAGTGGCGGGCCTGGGAGACGGGTCAGGTGTGCACTCACCATGGGCTTCTGGTGAGAAGGGCCTGGGATGGACACACCGCTGCTCGTGTTCACAGCCTTCTTGGTGACCTGCACATACACTTTCCCATGGTCTTTGGAGACGAGGCAGTGGTAGAGATCGTCATATTTGACCTCCAGGAAAATGGCCTCTCGGTCGACATAGTCCCCGCTTCTCAGGAAGTAGACGGCTTTGGAGGAGATGAGCACGCAGTAGCTGTCGATGTTCTCCACGGCGATGAAGCTGCGGAGGGAGAAGGGGAGTGAGGAGGGCACGCAGGACTTCGGGGCTGCTGCTCAAGGCAGGGCTGAGGTTCCATGTGGGCCCTGGTTTCTGGGGACTGACCTTACAGCTAAGCTCCCTCGCTCACTGCCCCACGGGCGGGTGACTCACCCACTCTGAGCCCCTGTCTCCTTGTCCGTCAGTTAGGAATAAAAGTGGCGTTGGCCTCTCAGGGCTGCTGCGAGGCCGGCATGCATAGCACAGGGGGGGCTTGATAAATAGGACCAACCGTTATCAATGAGAGAAAACAGTTTTCTGGCCTTTTCATAGGACGAGGCTTAGAGGAAGCCGTTAACAGTGCTTTGTTGGGCAAAAGAGAGGAAGAAAACACAATGCTTTGAAAGGTCCATTGATAAAGTAGCAGCTGAGAAGTTTCCCTGTGAAGGCAGGGTGGGGGAGGGACGGGGGTGATGGAGGTGGAAGTGGGGAGCGGGATTAAACGGGTCACCTAACTGGACGTGTGAGAGGATGCCATGCCTTCTCTATCTGCAAATCTATGTCTACTTCTTTTTTGTCATGGTTTTAATAAGAGGTCACCCAGTCTCAGCTCAACACCTTGAGGGACAGGGGACTGACTGGTGAAGCCACCGCCGCGTTCTCAGAGCTCCACGAGTTGTTAGGAAGTGTGCACTCTCAGGGAAAGCTATAATCCTGATTTTCATAACTCTCAGTCATCAATTCTGGAGGCTTCGGGGCCACTCGGGAAAAAAATAAAAGAAATCTCTTCTTCCCTGGAGCCGCGGATTTAAAGTGGGAATTTATGCGCGTCAAAGCTCTCAGCTGGGCTACAATGAAGAGCAGTGACCCTTGGAAATGGCTGTGACAGCCCTCCCAGGCCTGGCTGCCTCCACTGCCTCTTGTGACAGCCTTCCACAATGGAGCGGCCACTTCGGGGGACAGGGAAAGACGGCAGGAATACTAAGAGCTGACGACAGGCTGGCTGTCAGGCCCTGGCCCCCTGGGACCCAATGTCCTGAGAGGAATCGCCACATTGCAGTTGCTCAGAGCCACAGCTCCCCTGGAATGACTGGGGACTGGGTCCCAGGATGGCTTTGTTCTGGGGTCAGTGGTTGCCAAACTCTGATGGGACAGAGCAGACCTGCCTGCAGCTGGACAGGCTGGTTCTCTCTCCATCCCAAGTTGGCTCTAGGCCCCCGCTCACCTCTGGGCTCAGAGAGCCCCTGACTCTGAACACACCTCATCCCTCATCCCTTCTACCTCCTCCTCAAGTCTGAGGATTCATGAGCTCTAATTTCTCTCTGAAGCTTCCCCAGAAACGCTCAACCCCACCCCCACTTTTGAATGCTTCCTTGCTTACCTTCAAGAGCACTGCTAAGCACTGGTTTGTTCTCATTGTGTGTCCCGGATATGTATTCAGCTCTCTGGCTAGGCTGATGTACTCTTAAAGTCCACCCCTCAACCCCCGCCCATGTCTCCCTGAGCACCCACCACTGAGTCGGCCACCCCCTTAGCACTCACTAAAATTCTGCCTGGTTCCAGCTGCCATTTTAATTATAGCTTCACATGACAAAAAAATTGGGGTTTATTGTTCTGACTGGTTGGCAATGCCAAGAATGTAGACTTGTAAAGTCTCAATGCCAAAAGGAGAAATACCCAGCAGCTTTTGGTGTTCAGGCCACTCAGCAGAGAATTTCCCACATCCCAGGCGCGGATGGTGTCCAGGGGGCAGCAGCACTACTTAAAAAGGCCGAGTGAAATCTCAGTTAGCTGGTCCAGTGGAAGACAAGGTGAGAGAAAGAGACAGACAGAGACGAAAAAAGCTTCCTAACACAGAAAGGAAGGACTGGGGGCCGGTTGGAACTTGCCGGGAAACTAGCATAAAAACCAAAAATGGCCCAGGGCTTCTGAGCACAGGTGGGCCGGGCACGTGGTGACTGAGGCTGTAACAGGTTCTCAGGGGAGCTCCCCAGAGCCAGCCACCATGATTAGGGTGAGGGAAGGATGGGCATTAAAAAGTCCAGCATAGGAGGCAGAGCTTCTGTCCCATTGTCCGCGCCTCCCCTCTCCCATTTGGTGCCTGCTGATGCTGACATTTACGCACAGCCTCTAAGAGGGCTGAGGTCTTTCCATCGGGGCAGCTGCTCTGATACCCCTCACCTGGGTGGCTGACATTATTAGAGCTCTTTCCATAGTGGGCCTCTTTAAAACAGACTCCCTTCTAAGGGGTCACAGATGGTGCAAGTCTTCTGTCCAGCCAGCATGACTTCTGGGTGGAAGGGAGGAGGAAGCGTGGCTCTGAGCTGGGATGCCTGACTCAGAGCCACCCCACTCGGTGGAGGGGACACATGCTGAGCGGGCAGGGAGACCCACTGGGTGGGGCAGCTCCAGCAGGGCCAGCTGCTGTCTTTGTGGCTCAGTTTCTTCATCTGAGAGAGATGATGCTATCCGCCAGCTTCCACCACAAAGTCAGTAAATCCATGGCCAAAATTTAACATCAAAAGAATTCATGTCCATTAGAGAAATGTGAGGGGAGGATTTGTAAATCCACACATATCTCTCTTCTGTGAGCCCAGGAGCCCATTCATACCCTGAAGTTAATACAGACAGTAAGTTCTGGACATTTACATGACATGTTCTAGTTGTTTCAAACCAAAAGCAGATTGGAGCCAAGGGTATAACTGAGAGGAGAGGAGAGGGAGATAGTGGGGACTCAGCTGGAGCGCCAGGGTCACAGCCCTCGGTCTGAGCAAGAACCTGGACACCGACTTAGCCAACAGCCACCTCTCCCTCCATTTTCCTCTCAATGCTTCCCTGGAACTTTCACAACCAACAACTAACGCTTTGGGTTTCATCATAATAGCATACATTAAAACACATACAAAATCTAGAAACCACAACAAAGAAAAATTAAAACTGAGCTCCCGATTATGGGTCCCCTCCTGTAAGGGAGACCAACCCCAAATTTGTCATGGAGAGAGAGGAACCAAAACTCAATGGGCCAAGAGAAGCTGAACCCATGAGTGCTCCCAGCACTTCCCGTCCCATTCGCCGCCTGTCACTCCGTTGTCACAGCATGGCATCCCCCTCCCTGCCTGGCTGTCCCCTGCAGAAGGCCTGCGCCCCTTCCCTTTGTGTCACTTGAGAGGCGAAGGCCTCACACAAGCCAAGTCTAGACCACCCGCACTCTCCTCGCATCGCGTAGGCTGCTCCTGGCCCACAAATGACTGACCATTGCAAACCATTGTGGGATGACATGGGAAGGAAAGCCATGTGGCCTCAGGTGGACCCTGAGCATATCCTTCTACCCGCTGACTTGTCATTAACTCAGAAGGAGGGAGGGTGAAGAACTGTGACCAGAGACACACAGCCTCTGGGTGAGCCGCACCCTTCAAATACGGAGAACCAGAGAAGACATCTGGTGTTCTGTGGACGCTAGGAATGATTCTATAAAAAAAAAAAAAAAATTAGGATCTTTAGACTTTGGTTAAAAGTTTCACTTATAACTCTCCCTAAAGGAGAGAAAGAGGATGTTTTGACCTTGGGACCAACTTCAGAAAGTTTCTTCTCAGAGAAAGGAAGGCTATGACATGTGGCTTACACCACTCTCCAAGATGACAGGTTCTAATAGTGGGCGAGCCTGGCAAGGTTCACCGCTGCAGAAGCAGCTCCGCTACGATGAACAGCATCCCAGACCACAAACACCAAAGTCACTGTCCACAACGGCTTTAGCCCTCTCGCTCTGTGGCGGTAGTGATGTCGTTTCCAAGTACGATGGCCAGTGTGCCATGGGGCCCGGCCGATCCTCGGTGACAGCTGGCTCTGCCTATCACCAGCCCAAGGCTTGGCTCAGAGCTGTCTGCTGTCATGTGTAAAGTGAGGATCACCATACCTCCTCTGAGGGGCCACCGTGATGACTAGAACCAATCTACATGCCCAACCAGGGTGGCTGTTGTTATTTCTTTCTTCCGTTGACAACAGATGCCAAGTTATCCTGATCCTGTGGAGAAGGTCTCCTTGCGAGTCTACAAGTCCTCACTTCGGCAGGTTGGAGAAACGTGTGTCCCTCTAAGAGGCCACAGGGAAAGAGGTTCACGACCGACTGATTGCTCCTTAGAGGGAGAGAAATTTGCCAGTTGATTCAATTACCTTTTTCAACTGATTTTCTTTCTTTTTTTTCCCACTCTCTTGGGGTTTTGTTTGTTTTTGTTTTATCAACTCTATTAACATTTATATATCTGTATATTCCACACTTTACAGTCATTTCACAATCAGAAGAGTTGGGAGCTGTCTTATTCCAGCAGTGTCAATGATTATTGACAGATTATTTCCTGGTTTAGAAAATGCAAGCAGTGAATTCTATCCCACTCCTCAAAATGTCTGATCTTTTTATTTTTGCTTTGAGATTGCATATATTACTTTACGGTTTTTATTTATAATTATATACTGTTAAATTAAATTTTACTGTTTATAAGAATTATAAACTATACTGTTATAATAATTATACTGTTTATAAAAATAAACAGTATAACCTGTGCTCAGATAAAAAAAGTTCTACCTTCTATTTCTATATGCAGTTTCTTAAGAAGGGTATATATATCAAATATTACAGTATGCATACAAAGGGGGCAAGAAAGAATTTTATTCTTGATTTTTTCTGTACTCTTTGAATTTCCTAATAACTGCATACATGAGTTTATTTCATCAAAAAGAGAAAAATTAATTTGGCCAGTGGGTTTATAGGCTATTTTTGTTTTCCTTTTTATACTTTCTTGAATTAAAAGAAAAAAAAGATCTCAATAAAGATTAAAAAAAAAAAGAGGAGGAGCAGAAAAACAGATAGAATTGAGTGCACAACCCAAAGGGACAAGGGTGTAGCCTGACTCGACTGAGATCAAGTGGCCCAGCGACACAGGGAGAGCCTTCAAGATGCTCCCTAGACTCCAGGGGCCTCCTGTGCGTGACTTTCAAGTTTCCCCCAAAGACAAGCACCACCTTCAAGG